TAATCCAAAAATCAGCTCCTAACGTCTAACCCTATCTCCTATTCCTTGACCTCTGAGTGAAACGTCACGGGGTTAAGGGATAGTGGATAGGAGAATTCAAAAGAACTTAGGAGAAGAGACTGCGGTACTTTAGAGAATCTGACTGCACTTTCATTATCCGATGTGTTTATGATGCGCCAGCGGACATCATGAATGTGCGTCTGCTGCTGTGGGGAAACTATGGAACGGAGTACAACATGGAACTTATGCTCGTCACCCTCTCCCGCCGGTCCACATTAATACAAATGATCCCAATACGTATGATTGTATGAACTATGAAAAGATCTTAAAAATAAATACAAATGTATTTATTATAAACGTTAGTCTTTAACATCTATCCCTGTGTATATCACCATTCAAACATCTTTTTAAAAGTTGAACAAACCCCACACAGTATGAAATGAAATGTTGACTTTATTTGATCATTTCAGTAAAAACTAACGTTCATATTTCTCTTTTTGAATATGACACTGATGAACGTTCAAAACAAAGCAACTTACCACATACGTTTTAAAATGCTGAATAAGCACCGTAACTTTCATGATATAATTTTTCCGTCATAATCGGTTGTTTCCGTGAACGGCCGACTGTTGTGTGATGGCAAATGCTGCGGCTGCAAGGCATTGTGGGGCAGCATTTTCTCCTCTCCTCTCGGTGAGGGAGGTCCAGTGGTTCCTATAAGCGAAAGGAGGTTATAAAGGAAGTTTGAAACCTCCTTTCCTATCATCTAGAGAATTCGAACAGCAATTATCATGGCTGCCACTGAGGGACTTCCGGATCATTTCACTCCGTTAGGAAGGTTCCTAAGCTAAAGAGACTATTCAACTTCAGCCCGGGTTTACTCGACATTGAGAAACGGCCTGTCTTCCAGTTGCCTCTTTTGAATGACGAATACACACTACCGCCGCCTGCTGGTAAGGAGAGTTATTACCGCATGCGCAGTGCGTACGTGCTACTTTGCTGTCGGCTAAAGTCTTTGCTGTGTTTTCCAGTGCGACTTTTTGGCCAAGACGCAGGAGACGTGAGGCGACACAACAGTCGGGTCCGTCGGGACGTGTTCTCTG